GAAGTGGTGTGCAATAATCTCTAGCCAAGCTTACTTGATCTGCTGTTTGGACTAGAGAAGCCTTTGAAGTTTTCCTCTTTCCCAGCCAGCAAACCCTCCCTGAAAGCCATTAAACTCAGCTCTGCTGGTGCCAGTCCTATCTGTTCCATCTTGGTTGCTTTTCTCTAGGACTACTTACGTTCATGGACCTCCTGCCCTAAGGGGTTGGGGTGGGTGTATATGTGGGGGGTGGAATTGAGTGTGTGAAGGCCGTATTGTAAGGAGTCCTTTTGAAGAGAAGGTTTATTTTGGGGAGGAGTTGTAGGAGAGCTTTTATTCCCATGCCATAGAGACCAGGTCATTTCTAGGAAGGCTCTGCATGACAAAGGTTTCTCTGTTTGATCTGCCTTTCTTGGATCCTAGGCTGCACATTTACAGTAGTATAACCACTAACCCCACCAGGAACAGGAAGTGGAACAGAAGCATCTCCAGGGTGCTCCCTGATGGGCAATGCCATGGCTAGTAATCTTTATTTGGGCTGAGTTTGAGTTAAGGTTCTCTTGTTTTTTTCAACACCCTTCCTCCCCAAAAGGCTAAAATTACTTTGGCATGGATTAAATAGTCCATAAATTCTTTAACTACTGATTATAAGTAGTTATAAGAGAGCCCATTTGGAGTCAGGACCTGGCTCAGGTTTATTGGTCTTTCCCTGACAATGGTTTCTACAAGCCCCATAACTAAAGATGCCTCTGGCTGAAGATGCTAAAAGAGCATGCAAAAGTTCAATTATTTCCCTGCCCAGCTTCTACCTAGGATTGACATGACTTTTTTTTCTCAAAGTACTTGTATTAAAGAAGGCATAAGAGATGTAGAATAGATGTCTCATCTTTGTAAAGCCTGGTGTGGTGCATGGGTTAATGTGTCAGGCAGAGAACATTCACTTTCAAATCCTTATTCAACCGTGAAGCCCAATGGATGATTTAAAATCAGTTTATGTAAATGCTTGCACAACACACTAAACAATGGTTCATAAATCAAACGACATTATGCTTTCAGCCATGTTTTGTTTATTTTTATTAGCATATTATGCAAAAACATAGTCCTTATTAAGCCAATCTAGTTCACAGGGTGGTGGGGAGGATACAATGGAGACAGGGCAGGGCTGGGGGTAGCAGGAGTCATGTCCCTACCATCAAAACACAGAATATGAACCTGAATGTCAGAATCAGCAGGGATCATGATTTGAGTGAGGGGTAATTGGTGCTCTCTGAGCTTGCTTGTTTTCTTGGACTGATGATGTTAGCTAGTTAGGGTAATGAAACGTCTGCAAGAAAACAGCCAAGCTCAGAGAGCACCAAGGACCCCTCATTTCAACCACGAGCTACAAATATTCTCCTTCGTTGGCATGGTTTGAGTGCCAGAAATTCCTCTTTTCGTGGATTTCTTGATTGATGACTTGCATGCCAAATTACAGTACGTGAACGGATTGTCAGACTTTGGCGATAAGAAAGCTCAGTGAATAGTGGTTGCACACACACAAATCTCCAGTGGGTGCGGTTGCTCAAGAAGAGTGAAATAGAATTGCATGAATTGCACTTTGAAACTCAGAAGAAACATAGAGCCAAAAGCCAGATAAAATGTCTTTCACCGGGTATAGAGGTATGTATACAGGATTGATCCACCAAAAATAAAAGCAGGCTAAAATCAAACAAATAAATGAATGAGAGTGAAAATTACATAGAAGTCTTGTAATACCACCTAAGTAAAATGTGGGGAATACATAAAAATGAAGGTTGTAGAGAGACAGATGCTTATTGACACTTTGACCTTTAAAAGATTGCTGGGTCTTGTTTTAATCAAAATTCGACTAATTAAACATTTCATTGGAGTTTTTTGCACTTTACATCTCTTAGATTAGAGACGCTTCCAAATGCGATAGAATAGCTCCTAGCCTAGCCAGTCAAAAGACATTGTGAGGCAAGGATGCCGTTCTTTAATTCTTTGGAAAAGAAAAAAAGTGCAGAAAATAAAGGAGGGTTGCAAACAGAAATCAACAAACTTGTCTCCATTCCTAGCTGAATGGAAAAGGCAGGACAATTGCTAATAAAAGCCTTATGAGGAAGTACTTTAACTTTGCAGTTTCTGGGGCTCTTGATAGACTATAAGATAGACTATAAGATAGACTAGAAATTAGAAATATTGATTGCTAATAGGAGAGTGTTTTTCTGTCTTTTACTGTTTTTTAGACAGATATTGCATAATATAATGGGTGTTGTAATGAATAATTTGCTTTTCTTGATGGAAGGATTGGCTAATCTATCACTGTGATTTGTAAACTACCATTTATGGTTTAGCATTCTGTGGAAAGCTGGGCACTGAGGCTTATTAAATAACCCATAGTTCCGAGTATAAATCCAGCCACAGCAAAGCAACATGGAAGATTTAGCATCTTCCAGAGTTGTATATTTATTGCATAAATCTGATTAATTGGCAAACTGAACTTGGGCCCATGAAAGCATAAATCCAAGCTGAACTTGCAAGAAATCTGTTTTTCAGATGCCATTAAACTCTTCCACTAGTTAAAGGATCCAATTTACCAAGCTTTCAAAGTGGATCCTTTGCCAAGATGGCTAGATAATCTCTTTTTCACATGAAATAGTGTTATCCTCAACACTGATAATAAAGGCTAACACAGCTTCATAAGCAAATATTTCTTTAGCATTCTTCTTGACAAAGGGATGCTCTTTGGTATGGAACCAAACAAAAATAAATCATGAAAGCCACGTTGTTCCCACTTCCTGGTTAATTTTTAAACAGGGCAAAGGGTTCGTGCTTTCCTAGAAGTCTTGCCTTTGAATTGAGAATTCCTCCCTTTACTTTCTGGCTGATCTGGGGGTGTGTAGTGGCACAAGGCAAAACATTGCTGGTTATTCAGATTAGATAGCCTCTAGTCTGTGTTATGAATCCACATGTTTAGGATTGGGAGACCTGACATTAATATAGCTTCCTGGGCTGGGATGCAAATGAAGCCCTGGCAGTATGAATGGAAGTGAGTAAACTGCAGAAACGTGGTGTGGAAAGATTATCTCCCTCCAGCTTCCCGCTCAGTGTTTTAGGGATGGAGTTGATGATTAGCTACGAAAGGAATAAGAATAGTTTTCCTCCTCCCTCCCTGTTGGTCTCTTCCTCCTCCTTCCCCTCTGTAGTCAGGGCTGATCTAAAGAAATGCTGGTCTCTAGAATATTTGACTGCACCCAAATGCAGTATGATAATTCAGCATCTCCAGAGGAAGGCTGAAGAACAATTTCTGGATTGCGACCCGCACCGTAAATACTGTATATTTCCAGGCCAAGCAACTGTTTGTATACTCAAGCCAGCAACTTTGGTTAGAACTTGATTTAAGTCAGGACTAGCCCCAGGTATCCAGCTGATTCGGATGCAAGTGCTCTCTAATCCACAAATCTTAATAAACATGCCAGCAGGATGTTTGCTGCTTTCGCTCTTTCCTGTGCTCTGGTTAGAGAGACGCACTGTAATCATATCAATTACTGAAATGCCCAGCTAGAGAGAGAATTTTGAATTGTCAGGTGGCCGTATATCTGTCTGACCTTCCTTCTCCGCAGTTTCCGGAAGGAGTAGCCAGTATGTGGATTTCTGGAAGGATCTGTTGCTGGTTGCCCAACACTTGGTGTGTTAATGTGTAGAATAACCGGGACACGATCTCTCCGCCTCCCCTTCTTCTTGTGGATGATTATGGAAGCAAAGAGGAGCCAGAAGTATCTTGAGCTTCAGAGAAGGAAAATGCAGGCTTAAGTGCATAGAAAGCTAGACTTTTGCTGGCTACAGTTCTGTTTAAAAATCTGCCTTACTAGACGTTTCCAATCTCTTTACATGTTGATGTTATTGGTCATAACAATTTGTTCATTGGCATGCTATTACATATGCCAGCAAGAGTCTGAAAATGGGAGTGGGTGGCATCAGCTTTTTAAAATAACTGGTTGTTTAAAAGGGTATGTGGGATGTGTGAACTCAAAACCTAGCATCCCTCTTCCCTGAAAGAGGGTCCTGCACCTCGGAAAACGGCTTCCAAAATCATCAGAACGTCAATCATACCAGAAAGGGCCCCCCCTTTACCTTTCTTTTTTGCTGGCTTTAACTCAGACCAGATCCATCTCTCCCTTGTCAGCACTTATCCCCCCCCCCGCCTCCCCGCCAGCCCCTTTGATCTATGCCATGTCATACTTTATGAATGATCTCACCATTCCTGGACCCAGAGATGGGGAGCCCCCTCCCTGACTCTGCCTCTTCTCTCGCTAACCCTGGTGGCAAGGGAACCCACTGCCTCTGAGCAGAAGCGGTGAATGCTCCAACACTGGAAGTTTTTAAGAAGAGACTGGACAGCCATTTGTCTGAAATGGTATAGGGCTTCCTGCCTGAGCAGGGGATTGGACTAGATGACCTTCAAGGTCCCTTCCAACTTTACTATTATTATTATTATTATTATTATTATTATTATTATTATTATTATTATTATTATTATTATTATTATTATTATTATTATTATTATTATTATTATTATTATTATGTGTAATGTGCTGCTGAGGGCGTGAGCCGTCCCGTGCAGAAAGCAAGCTTCCCATTACTGAAGCGCTACTTCGGATACTGGCCTCTGGCCTCTTCCCTCCCAGGGCGGGGAAAGTTACGGATTTTCCGCCCAACCTGGCTGGGCTTGAGCGTGGGGGAGATGAGAGCGGACCGGGTGCGTGGTGGTGGGGGGGGGGAGTCCTTGGCCGGAGGGAGGAGGGGGCGCACGCCACGAGCTTTCTCACTGAGATACCTCCCCCTCGCCGGACTCAAGCCCCCCCCCCCCCCCCCCCCCCCCCCCCCCCCCCCCCCCCCCCCCCCCCCCGCCGCCGCTGCCGCTGCCCCTCGCTCGCTTTTCTCTTCGGCTGACTCTCCCCCGCCCTCCCGTCTTTCTTGTCCTGCAGGGATCCCAGCTGAGCCTCAGCCGAACCGGGCAAAGGCGCGGGAGCCGCGGGAAGCGCACCATGCCTGGGACGCCGCGACTGCTCCTCCGCCTGGCCCTCCTCTGCGGCTACACGCAACTCCTGGCCGAAGCCAGCTCTTGGTGGTGAGTGGGGTCGGATTCTTCTCTTCTCTTCTCTTCTCTTCTCTTCTCTTCTC